TAACGACAACAGCAAAATATTAATACAAATCTGAGTAAGATGAATACCACGTTTAACTAGTTAATCAAAGTACTATATTGCCAACTAATGCATTCTGATTGGCCCCTGCATTTTTATCTTCCGCACTCGATAAAATCTAAGCACTATACAATCTTCAAGTATCTCATTGAATTGAGCTCGTAACCCGTCGCTTCTACTCGACGTCACGCGTACAACAGCACTTGATACAGTTCTCTAACAAGCATAAGACTCACATCACTTAACGCACGTGTATCTTGCGCATATTTTGGTACCTCGCAAACTCCACGTCGCTCGGTTAATTTTTCATAAAAACCTCTTACATCATGGCATCTCTTGGCGGTGTTAGTGTAAAAGTCGTCGAAGCTCGTGGCATTCTTGCTGGCAACATGAGCGGTACGAGTGATCCATATGTGACTATCACTCTTCTTGATTCAAAGGGCGCTGTAATGCCAGCGGGTGGGACGTTTAAGACGAACGTTAAGAAGAAAACTTTAAGTCCGTCGTGGAACGAGACATTTATCGTAGCTGATAAACTCGATCTTCGTATTGTTTCAACGTTACGACTACTATTGCGTGATGAAGATAGTACATTCTTAAGCGGTGATGTGCTAGGTGTTGTTGATATTCCTGTATCGCTTTTAATTCAGCTTCAAGAGCCTCTGGATAATTGGTTTCAACTTACAAAGCATGAAAAGATGAAAAAAGATTCAAAGGGAGAACTTCATCTTGTATTAGAACGAGTCGTTCATGAAGAATCGATGGCTGGGAGAGGTACAGGTGTAAACATCAATCCAGAGCTCGAGATGAAGCCTAAAAATGTGAGCACTGAGCCACCAAATCTACTTTACGTGACACTAAAGTCGGGTTATAATTTACTTGGAATGGACAATAATGGCACGAGTAGTGATCCAATTGTCTTTTTATCATTTAATGGACAGAAACACGAGTCAACAAAGAAAGAAAAGACACTCAAACCTCAATGGAATGAGAAATTTGGATTCTTTGCTCCTGATGTCAAGAAAAAATTGTCACTTCTAGTTGAAGATTATGACGTAACGATTAATGATTTTATAGGTAAAGCAGAAGTGTCGTTGAACGATCTTAAACCAAATATCGAGAAAAATGTTTCAGTTGAACTTGGTGGGAAACGAGGAAAAAAGGATAAAATTGAGAGAGGTGTTCTCTTGCTTACGTTACTTTGGACGTACGACAAGAATGCACGAAATATTGCTGAAAAGAGAAAAAAATCGACATTCTTGCCGACTTTTGGCGCACCAGATCAAGATTATGACTCAGACGATAGTGACGGTGTCGAAATTGATGACACGACGGCTAATAAAAAGTCTGAAGAAGAATTAAAGAAAGAACGCGAAGAACGAGCAGCGAAACAAGCGGAACTCATGTTTGAATTGAGCAGTTTTGAGATCAAGTCTGGTGACTATAATGTACAGATCCATGTCATCGAAGCACGTGATCTCGTACCGAAAGACTCGACTGGTACGTCCGATCCTGTCGTGTATGTCGAAGTGTTTGGTGAGAAACAGCAAACTGCTGTTAAGAAGCAAGTGTTAAGTTGCTTTTGGGACGATCTTTTGATCTTTCCATTCCGAAACTTGGACAAGTCGGAAGTCGAGATGGGATTTGTGCGCTTGAGTGTCATGGATGCCAATACTTTTCAACGTGCTGAACTCATTGGCGCGGCACAATTTGACGTGTCGTACATTTATTCGCAAGCAAATCATCAATTGGCCAACGTCTGGATTGGTCTCACGGACATCACAAACACGACAAATCAAGGTATTCAAGGATATTTACGCGCATCGATCAGTATCATTGGACCAGGCGATAAACTTGTGCCGCCTCCTTCTCCTTTTGGTGAAGGCGCGACATCTGACATGAACAATGTAATTATGCCACCCAGCGTGACGCAAAACGTTCGTTTTCTTGGCGCTGTCATACATGTGGCTGAGCATTTGCCGCCAATGGACGTGGCAGTAGTTGGTAGAGGGGGTCTCGACGCGTATGTCAAAGGATCGATCGCTGGTGGAGACGCCATTCGAACGCGTGTGCGTACGAAAAAAGGTCGAAGAGACGAACTCTGTCCGAGTTTTAATGAGGAGTTGATGCTGGTGATCCGGGAACCATCTATGGCAGATTCCATTCAATTGGCAGTATACGATTGGGATCAAGTCGGATCCGATGAATTAGTTGGGTATGTGTATCAGAGTGTCAAAGTTGTCAAAGCAATGAATGGAAAGATTGGCCCATTCTGGGCCAACATCTACGGTGCGCCACTCCGTTTAAAATCCGTTGGTATTGGTGACTCATTAAAGAAGCAGATGAATACATACCCCGATATTGCTAGTACGTATCGTGGTCGTCTTCTCCTTACATTACGAATTCTAGACAATGATGATGGTCGATTTGATGAAACGAATCAAAAACGCAATACGAAACGCATTCCACGAGATCTGTACCCTCACGAACGAATTTATCGCTTGCGTGCACATTTTGTATGGGGTAGTCAAATCCCGTCGTTCATGAGCTCAAAACGTCCTGGACAGAAATCTAAGATGCAGCTCGTATTGTCGTGTGGTCTCACGGAGATTGCATCGTCCCGGACTCGAAATGTCAATGGAACGGTGGAGTGGAACAACATGGAAGAGAGTGAAAAGATGCTTTTACCGGAAGATCTAGCGCAAGTGCCCGACATTTTCTTGTACTTGTGTCGCGGTGATGGCGATACTCGAAAAGCAGTGTGCTTTCGGCGCTTTTTAGCCAAAGACTTGTTTGAGGGTCGTCCAGCTCGTGATGATGAGGTGGCAATCGTAGGTGGATTTAAAAACGAAGTGGGTTGGATATCATTGAAAGAAGACCAAGCAATTAATGCACTGGAGGATGAGACGTTTCCTGGTAATGTGTTGGTTCGTATCGGGTTTGGAACCGAAGAGATGGCCATGCACACAATGTGGGATCGCACCGATTTAGATGCAGTAAACAAACGCATTCCATACCAATTACGTGTTCACATTTATCAAGGTCGTCGACTTCCTCCGGCCGATTCGAATGGTCTGTTAGATCCGTTTCTTGTTGTTCGATGTATGGGAGAAGAGAAACTCACATCAAAAAAGAAAAAGACACGCGATCCATTGTGGTACGAAACCTTGCACTTTGACGTAAATTTACCAGAACTTAAATACGCTCCTCAAGTGATGTTACGTGTGATGGATTACGATGATTTTGATAGCAATGACTTTGTCGGACTTGCGGCCTTAAATCTTTCGGAAGCAATCATTCGGTCCTCGGATCAGGTCGCAGGCGAGCATCAACCATCGCTGCCAGATCCTCATTGGCATCATATCATGTTTCAAGAACCTGGTGATTGTGAAGGAGAGATTTTGGCTTCGCTTGAACTCATTCGAAAACAATTTCCAGACGAAGCTGTACGACGAGCACCTTCGATCGTACCCCGAAATCGAAAAGCATATCTTGAAATCACGGTCTTGGGCCTTCGCAATATGGAGCCGTACCAATTTATGCCAATCCAATTGCCGTTTATCGAGTTTGTGCTTGGAGGAAAGGAACATGCAGCTCAAGAAATGATCACTGAAAAATCGAAGCGACCGTCGGGAAGTAATCCAAATTTCTTGCAACGAATTGTCAAGGAAGTTGAGCTACCAGAAAATGCTCATTTTGCTCCTCGATTGAATATTATTGTTAAAGATACGCGTTTAGGCGGGTTTCAAACGCCTATTGTTGGCTCAGCTTCAATTGAAATGAGCTCAAAGATTCCGTGGTCAAAACACTATCGACCTCCTCAGAATGATACAATAGCGGAGATTGAGATCGAATCGGCGGATGAGTGGGCAGACGATGCTCCATTATTGGGAAAAACAGCAAGAGCGGACAATTCACCGGAATTCGAGTCAGTGGACAACGGCGCTGGTGTTTTTGGTGCGTTAAAGGGTATGGGAGTAGACTTTGATCCAACGGGAGCATTTGAAGAAGCATCGTCTCGGCGCTCGATACTTGAAGGTGAAGAAGATGATCCGGATTCAAAAAAATATTTGAAACATCGCGAAATCTTGGATGGAGAACTCGAATTAGAGTTGAAAACCAATCCGTTTGAGAAGTACGGACTGCACATTGGGCAGAAGAAAAAAAAATCGTCGTTTTTTGCGGCAATGAATCCGTTTGCCAAGAAATCTCGAAATGCGGGAGACGACGTTGGGATGTACAAGATGGCTGGATACTTTAAAGGATTGATCCGTGTCATTGAAAGAGAAGATGAAAAGCCATTGTTTGATTTCGAGACATTGCTCCAGACACTTCCGTACGAAGTGCGAGTCTACGTATTGGATGGTGTGGGTTTCGCACCCATGGACATAGGTTTAAATGGACGTCCTGGCAAATCGGATCCGTATCTACGGCTAAAACTGGGAGACAAGAAAATAAGCGATCGTAAGAATTACATTGAAGACACGACGGATCCGGATTTCTACAAAATGTTTATGTTTAATGCCAAGCTTCCAGGTGCAAGTATCTTGACAATTGAAGCAATGGATCATGATTTAATTGGAGGCGATGATTTGATCGGACAAACGTTCATTGATCTTGAAGATCGACTTTTTGACAGGAGATGGCAAGGCATGGGAACGATGTACGAGACGTCAAGTCGTTTACGGCTAAAGCCCCTCGAGACACGCACGCTCAATATTCCCACGTCTCGAGCGCCAATGGGAACGATCAAGCTCTGGATTGATATTTTGAGTCCTGCTCAAGCTCATGATTACCCTGCAATTGATATTTCCTTGCCTCCGCCATTGGACATGGAACTCCGTGTTGTCGTTTGGAAAGCACGCAACATGCCGTCATTTGACGCATTGGAAGACATGAACGATCTGTTCTTTCGCTGCTGGATGGAAGGATCCGAGTATCAAGAGACAGATATTCATTGGCGTGCGAAAAAAGGTAAAGGATCGTTTAATTGGCGCATGAAGTTCCCAATCACTCTGGGTCATAAACAATTGAATACCAAGATCCCGTACTTTCACATTCAAGGTTGGGATAAGGATGTTTTGTCTGCAAATGATGCGATTGGAGAACATACATTGGATCTCGGTCCTTTCTTCCGTCGGGCGTATAAGCTCAAAACGAACGTTCAAGTGTATGAAGACGACGATGAAACGAGAAAGAAGAAGAAGAAAGCAGCGTCTGATGATGATGCAGCAGTCAAAAAAATTCGAGAAGCCACTGGACTTTGGGACGATGACGATCCCGCAGATTCCAAGTGGTTGAAGCTAGAGAGTCTCAATCATAAGACAAACACACGCAATTTTATGGGCGAAGTCTGCGTCTCGCTTGAGTTGGTGCCTGGTGAGACGGCGAAGAAGAATCCTGTGGGTCAAGGCCGATCATCTCCGAACAATTCTCCGTACTTGCCGCCTCCTGCCGGTCGTCTCTCGTTCTCGTTGAATCCGTTTAAAGTATTGAATGACTTGTTAGGTCCTTCCATTTGCCATCGATTGACGTGCTGCTTCTGTTGCGTCCTCTTTATGGTGCTCGTCTACTTCCTGGCGCCATTTATCAACGTGGCGATCATTACTCTTCGGGGGTAATTGGACAGAAGCGCATGTTTTGAATGTTATGGTTGCATTTGTTTAAGTCGATCAAACGTCGTGTTGGTCGTCATAAAACCGTTTATTTTTTTCTATACTTAGGATTGTGATAAGAGACGTGCGTTTCTCCATGTAAAGGGTGTCACAGTGCCGCTTGTGATGCCTCGGCTTGCGAGCAATCGGGTCGGGATCCAGGTGACTCAACAAGACGATGTGATGGTTAGTAACGAGACAACAGTTCATTCTCAAATCAAGACCAGTGAGTCTCTTTTGACGCTGGAAGCGGCCAAAGCACAACGACAAAAGGAACGATTGCGAAAGAAAAAAGCTGAGCGACGAGCTCAAGCGAAACAACGTCTGGCTGATAAAGCGCGACGACAGGAGGAAAGAGAGCAGCATGAGGTGGAAAAGATGACGAAAGAGGATTTTTCGATCAGTTGGAAGTTTGAAGAAGAATACTCGGTGCAGCCAACGTCAACCACGATCGAGTTGTTACCGAAAAGTAGCCAGAATTCTCACTCGTATAGTCCAGATGCAGCCGCTTTGACGATACAAAAAGCGTTAAAACGGCAATTAAGAAAATGCCAGTGGATATTTCGACACTCGCCCCGAATTTTCGTCGAAGAAACGAATATGATGATGACTTTGGATGAGTCAAACACAATATTTACGTTAGATGAGATGCTTCAAGTTGTTCCTCCATTAGATCTACCTCAATTAAAGCCATGTGTGTCTCCACGAAGCGTCAACTCTTGCTGTTCCTGCTCTGACGAAGGATCGTATCCATGCTCGTGCTCATCGTATTCTTGTTCTTGCTCCTGTAGCTCGAGTTCGTCGGAATCATTTCATATTGAATCCGAGGAAATTGCTAGAATTGAACGACATGGAATTGAGAAGACACTGACTGTCGATGATCATCTAATGGCTGTCAAGATTCAAGCAAGAATTCGTGGAAATCAAGGACGAATCAAAGCTCTTCGACAAAGTCTCGCATTGGATCAACAATTAAAACACGATGCAATGATTGAATTACAAGAAGCAGCTGTAGTGAAGATTCAGACGAGAGCTCGACACATGTTAAAACGAAAGAAACGTGAAAAGATTCGAGGTGATCAAAAGAACGTTGAATCATTAACATCAGAACCAGGAGTGTATGCAACTTGTACTGATATCGGAATGTGGCCAAAAGAACTTGATCTCGAGGCTCTTGAAGCTACGTACGATATCGAAGAGATGAATTTCACTGGAAATGAACAACACGTTCGAGTCTTTTGTGGGACGTGGAATATGCATGCGAAGAAACCGCGAGATGATTTACGTCATTGGATTCGGTGGCACAAGTATCATATTGTAGCAGTTGGGAGTGAAGAATGTATTCATTCTATTGCAAAGAGTGTTGTATTTACGTCGAAAAAGTCATGGGAAAACAAATTAAAAGAAACAGTAGGACCAAATTATGTTCTTGTGGCATCTCATGCTTTGACAGCAATTCACAATGTAGTGTTTGTACACACTAGTCTTGTGCCATTGTTAAGTAACATTCAATCGGATGCTGTGGCAACAGGATTAGGTAATCAACTTGGTAACAAAGGTGGTGTTGGAATTGCTTTTTCACTTGGTGCCACAACTTTTGCATTTGTCAATTGCCACTTTGATGCACATCAAGGAAATGTAGCAAAACGTAATGGAAATTTTCATCGTATAAATTACGAATTGAAACTTTCCCCTCGTACTCTTTCAAATACACTAGACGAGGGGACGATTAGTCCACTTTCAAACATTAAAAGTGGACCACAAGGACTTGGACGTACGTCTGTAAATCGCTTTTCATTACCAACAGTGACTGGAAGTAACTTTTCAAGCTCAAGACGTGCCGTTAGTGAATTATTTGATCGTGTTTTCTGGTATGGTGACTTGAATTATCGAATCAATGGTACGAGACGTATGGTAGATACTTTACTACTACAAAATCAATATGATGTTTTGTACGCCAATGATCAATTACAACGTGAGATGAAAGCTGGTCATGTCTTTCCTCATTTTCAAGAAGGACCTTTACATTTTCGACCAACGTATAAATTTGATAAACGCAGTGACGTGTATGATTCTTCGTCAAAGCAACGAATTCCATCTTGGACTGATCGTGTTTTATATTTATCGAACCAGAAAGAGCATGATATTCAAGTGTTAAGTTATCGTAGTGAACCAAACTTTCGAACATCAGATCATCGACCTGTATGTGCTACATTTCAAGTTTCATTTCATAAGACAGAGGAATTCATGTCATCACAACGTGATGAGAATCTTGCTATTAGTCAAACATGCATTCTTCAATAATATGTACGACTGGTGAACAATTGTACTATCAAAATGTTAGAAATGTCATTAGAAACACTTCAAATAGAATACTGTCCGATTTTAGACAATTTCTTCTTCACGAAGCTTGACACAAAGTGGTACATTACATTGCGAAACTGTACAGCTCATTGCATGATACGCAAAGAGTTCAGCTGTTAATCGAGCAAGTCGATATGATCGCCATTTATCACTATGTGATACCCAACAGACGCAGCGCAAGAAACGTTTCATGTATCGACATAAGACTTGAAATTCAGAATGGGTACAATTGATTTCGTCGCAATTACAAGCGTGAATAAGCAGTAAATTACTTTTTTCCGGATCATTTTCAAGCATTGGTGCAATCTAAACAATTAGAAAAAAAAACATTAGAAATGGTAAAATTGATAAGAAAAACCAAGAAAAGTACTGGTATCGCCGTCGGATCGTTTTGATTTGGTTCCACATTGTCGGGTATTGGTCTTATTGTCGTTGTGACTAGATTTTCTGACTTTATCACAACAGAAGGTGTCGAATACTTATCACAACACTTCGGACAATACCATGATTCGTCAGGTACCGATTGAAGTGGTGGATCAAGACAGAAAATATGATATTCGGCATTACAATCGTCACATAACATAATTTCATCTTCACGATCCGATTTTTTACATACTTCACACGCTGTTTCTGATGTTTTCTCATCCATATCAATATCTTGACTTTTCCATGTTGTATGAGGATCTGGTTCAAAGTCACTAAGTTCATCCATTGGATTCACTTCACGCATATCAATTTCACTAGATGATTCACTTGTATAGTCACGAATGTTAATAAATTCTGGAGTTGTACCACTTGTTTCTTGGGCTAATTAGAAAAAAAAAATGATTGTAAATTACCGAATAAATTACACACATAGAAATAGAAACCGTGTAATTTATACCTGGACCCAACTGCTCAACCTTAACGCTTGGAGCTACTGATTCATAACGTGATCCTTTACTAGAATCAAGACGTGGAATTGTTTGTCCTGGAAATTGAGAAATTGCTAACTTTACAAACGCATCAATGCGCTGGAGATCGAGATCTTGCGCTACAGCTTCCTCCCAGTCGAATCGCACACGTGTGCTCATTTTAGTTTAATATGATTGAGGAATGGGACATTATATACTAAAAATAAAATATTAAAGTTGTTTGAGGTCTACTATTATTTTTTTGTTAAATTTAAGTATGATGTAAATTACACGTTGCAATTTTAAGAAATGTACAGCATTTATATAGAAAATGAAATGCATAAGATGATGTTATCATGCTGTTGCACCAATTGATTCAGTTGTTGGTCTATCAAGGATTTTATTTGAACCTTATCTCCTTACAGTGTACATCGATACTAACACCGATAGTATATTTTATTAAGGTATGATCTGAACAGTTCCTACTGCTCTGGACATGTGTTGGTGACGCAACCAGGTCGCGTGAGGACTGAGAACCACCACTATTAAGAAAAAGAAGAAGCTTAAGGTGAGGAGACTTATGGCGTGCAGGGCTAGCTGTAATGGATCGTATCTAGTCACCTTTGACGTGCATTGTGGGGACAAATAACAAAATCATTACAGTACGACAGATCCCACATGCATGTCTGGATAATCTCACGAATGTCTTCGGTTTTAATCAGTACAAAATGATGGTTTTACTTGGTGATACCAACGTTATGGGCCAGGTCTCATTACACATGTTTTGAGTCTGACATTGACCGTACACCCTGTATAGTTGTATCTGTCCTTTCAGCTCTGACGTATCAGAACTAGAAGTATTTGTCAGGTTAGGGTGGGTAAAGCTTTTTGGCTATAATAATAAATGTCACTTCATCTTTCCTCCTCTCTACGTAAGTCAACGACCCGCTGGAAGCGAGCAAAACGCGGTGAGGAGGGTCAGTTGACCTGAGCCTTCCTTAAAATGTTCAATTCTAGTTACACTTGGCAGCACTAGTAGTCATTTTAACGCCGACATTTTCGCAGCGGGGCTGTCATTGCTCATTGCTTAGAGAAAGCTAAGCTAAGGCCACCGACCTTACGCTCTAAACTAGAACCAGTATGAGTGTAGCAGATAGCAATCCGTTCATTCCAATAGTACGCACAACATTAACCAAACTCTTCCGCTTGAAATGTTAACTATGAAGTGCATCCAAAGCCCTCAGTGACTGAGCACCGCGCCAGCCACGGGCGACGGATTACCTCGTCGAGGATTTGGAAGAAGTCAACTTTGAGTCGGATACTCCTTTCCCATGACGGGGAGAAGAGGAGGGCAAGGTGTCGACATGATCCCTGCTCGATCCTTGCGGACACCGTGTCCGTTCCCCGATCTCTC